CACGACCGATAGAAATTCCCAGAGATGCCGGTTCCGTCGAGTTCGGGCACTGGTTCGATTCGTCGAATCACGTCGGATCGCGATGGCAAAGATGGATTCTACGACGGAGCCGCTTCTTGAAGAATCTTCGCACGTATTCGGGCACGAACCACGAATGAAGAAGCGCGGAACCCGGCAGTGAAGGAACCGCAGGAACTTTCGAGGTTTAAATCGGAGGATATATATGTAATTTTGTACGTTGATGTTACGGCCGGGTTCGTCCTCGAGCAGCTGACGCGCGATGTCCTTGCAGGAGGTTCGCGCAGCAGGTGGCACCTTGCCATCGTCCTCCCAGTAACGGCTGGCTGCGTGGGCGTAAAGGGCCGCTGGCGTCGCGTGCGTCACCCTCGTCGTCGTAACCAGGCCCGTCGATTTACCTACAGGGAACAGAAAACACCGTCAACTGAATATCCTTTCACGCAAATCGAGCTCGTGTTCAGTCGCCTCACCGTTCCGTTTCGTTTCGTTTCGCTCGAGTCATGGCTCGTTTGATCGCTTTTCCCATCTGCACGCGTTTTCGCGCGTTCTACGGTGACAAACTCTTGACGAGAGGTGGAAAGAAATGATTAGTCTACGATGAGTTTGTGTAACGTGGGATCACTGGCTTCCAAGGCTCGTTTGAATATTAATCGTACGTGGCGTTGTTGTGAATACAGGCTGGTCCATACTTTTTGGTTAATATACTTTTTTCCAAGGTTAATTTTTTTCCGAGTTTTCAAGATGATTAGTATCATTTTTTTTTCTCTATTGCATCGTGTAGCTGGTAAAAAAATACAGATATGTAAAAAATATAACACTAATGGAAAATTTAAGGTTTTCTTTTAAAGAATGATTGATCGTTTTCACATTGCCGCAAACCCCACTGAGAAAAATACAAAATCACGATACAAAATCTGTTTCGTAAAGATCTCGATGTAGAGATAAACGATATGAAAATTTTTCCTTTCAATATCTATATTATGGTAATTCCAGAAATGTTACTCCCACGCTCGAGTTACCTTAGATTCGTATTGTAGATTTTCATTGACTTTAGCTACAATATTTTCTTTATTTTTCGCTTTATTTGTCGCTATTAACAGTTCTTTTATGACACTGGCTGTTTGACGAAAATTTTTAACCACCTTTATATATATATATATATATATATATATATATATATATATATATATA